CCTTAACTGTTTAAATAGGGGCCGGTTGTTCAATGTCTGATTAGCACAAATCGGAGGTAGAAGCTCCGCTTAAATGCAAAGACTGCTTTATCGATCACATGTTATGTGCATGATGTCGAAAACGTCGATAATGATGTTTAACCGGCAAGTACTGATAACCAGACATTGAACAACCGGCCCTGAGGGTTTACGGAGTAGATACACAAACACCCCCAATGTAGTTATCTCTGTATACTCTGTCAGGTTACTCATTAGAACTCTGCTTTAGGCTACCAGACCACTGCAGTGTCTTTCAAGCAGAATACGCGGCTTTAAAAGAGGCTGCATTCTGGCTTATCGTACTTTCTCTTAACCGGCCTTCAGAAACTATATACTCCGATAGACAAGCAGCTATCAAGTCACTACATTGCTGTATGATCTCCTCAATAACTGTGATAGAATTTAGGAAAGTCCTTAACGATTTACCTACCTCCAAGATATGGTTCAGGACATACTTCGTCTCGAAGGCAAACAAAAGATGACCAGAAGAACCCACGTGTGGGACGACTCGACAAATCTGGCCTAGCCACGAAAAGAAAAGATCTGACACACTCATTCGGTTAGAACGCCCTTTACTAAGGCTGATGACCGGTCATGCTAGCAGAATGGGTTTGCCGGCCATAGTTGCCGCGACATGGATGAAATCGAGAGTGTGGAAAACTACCTATGTCACTGCCCTGCCCTTAGTGGGCGAGAAGACGCTCATTTTACCACCACCTTTTTGTCTGTCTGGCCGACCTAAGTAAAGCAGGCATTCACGAATTCTCGCGCTCTCGGCACGTACCCAACTGCTTCTACTTCTAGGTGAATGGACGGGTTCGAATACGAGCTCTAAATTGGTATCACAACGGACCCACAGGGTCTAAGTGTGCCTCTCACCTATGTACATTAGATGAAGGCAGCCGCTTCAACCTAACCTTACCTACATATACATAGTCTTTTCATCTTTCGGCAAACCGGTTTTACGTGATAAGCTGGGGCTTTTCACCGATTTCTAAAATTTTCGATAACATGCTCAGTTAGACTTAATAAAATAATTGAACCTAGCTCGGTAGGAATCCATAAAGCGGTCACCAAAATATACCTAGGTTAGGTTTAGGTTGTTGTGGCAGATACCGCACCAGAGAGACTTACTTAGACATTAATTAGATTGTCCATTGTGTTACCACATTACACAAGTTCTTTGAACGGCAACTAAGTTATTCTATGTTAAAAACTAAGAGAAGCGCTGGGTGCTCAGAACAAAGTTCCGCAGGCAGCTGATGTCCACTCTGGAGATCTTTTCAAGAGAGTTGAGAAATGAGCACCGAGGTGCTTAAATCTTAGTCTTGCGAATGCCGGGCAACTGAGAAGGAAGTGCTGAGATGATTACATCTCATCTTCCAAACAGCCGTGCCAGTAGGGATTTGTGACGATGTTAAGTCGCACCGCGTGGGTTCCTAAATGACAATGTCTGGTCAGTACACTTGTGAGAATCGAAAGGTGGCGCTTAGCCAGCTGCAGAAGCTCTCTTGATCGCCCGCGGTCGACAACCGGCCAGAAGAACCTTACAACGTTGCATGTCGGGGTTTTCACCCAGCGCTCGCTGAGCCGACTGTGAGCCCATCTGTCCAGAAGCAAGCCACTGATTGCCAACGGAACTCATACGCCCTCCCTATCCGAGGTTTTGGCCTCGAAGGTTCCCAGCCTTGCCAATTCATCAGCCCTGCAATTTCCAGTTATGTCACTGTGTCCCGGTACCCAAATGAGTTTGATTTGGAAGTATTCCGAGGCACTTGAGAGAGAGGTCAGGCATTTCCCGACCAGTTTCGAGCATATTATAAGCGATCCCAGCGCTTAGATAGCCGCTTGGCTATCAGAGTAGATATTTATCCTCCTAGTTGACAAGTGGTTGGTGCATAGACAATCGGCTGCCTCGTTTATAGCGGTCACCTCTGCTTGAAAGACGCTACAGAGGTCCGGCAGTCTGAACATAAGATTTGACGAGAGTTTCCGACAATAGACCTCTCCTCCGACTCTCCTGTCCAGCTTCAATCCGTCCGTGAATATGTTTATTGGACCCCTATTTCAGAGACTGGTTATGGAAAAAATTAAATGATTTTATAATAAAATATGCTTACAGTTAGTTTAACCCACTTTCGGTCGAACCAGGACGTCGATAATACGAACAAAAACGATAGAGCTTCTCCTACTTGAAGATTCATATTTTTTTGTTTTTAATAAAAACATTTCCGACCATTTTGAAGTTCGAACGTCCTTTAGATGTTGAAAAAGGCACATCCGAGAAAAAAAATCGCAACAAAAGTTACGTACTTTTATTATACATATATAGCTAAATTCTTTCTTGTTGACTTAGGCGGTTATTGTTAATGACCACAGATATAAGCAGGATGCTGGTAATCTTTTCCACAGTTCTGCAATACGTAAAAAATCAAAATTTTCGAAATTTGATTTGTCAAATTAAACTCCAACTACATAGAACATCTAATACTCAACTAATACTTGTATATCTGCTTTTATGTACTCGTAAATATGTAGATAGTGAATTTTGTCTGCACATTTGTGTGGAATTACATGGATCTTTTCATAATGATGATAGGCAAAGGCATCGCATATCGATTCGAGCAAATGAAGATGCGCATACACACGCTGCTCGATAAGGTAATAATTATAGGTGTACGACAACATCTTTCTGCACTTCCATTATCTTAATTAGTTTTGTTAAATTTTCGCAATCCTGTCACCTATTCCAGGAGGTGCCTGAATCGATTTTTATGGAAATACGAGACCACTATGTTAAATTAATTGAATTACTCGAGTATGTGGATGAGGATTTGTCTGGCATAATTTTGCTATCCAGTGCGAATAATTTATATTTCGTTTGCTACCAGCTACTGAATATCTTCAAGTAAGTGCATTACTTACCTTAATACGTAAATAGGTATATATGTATGAATATTTATATAATTGCAATTAAAATATTTAATGACAATTATGTAAAAGAGGATTAAGATAAATGCTGTATTTATGCAAAGAAGCTTAAGGCTGAGCACTGTACCCATGTTACACTTTCACACACTAATTATTTGCCAACAGCAACAGTAAAGCGGCTGTAGCTTCTTGTCAAATGTTGACAATAAAATTATTTTATTGCCTTTAAAGTGCCGAGATATACTCGTAAAAAAAGAGATTTAAAATACATATTCGGCTAACCCCGTAGCCATGCCTGCGAGTCTCCACTGCAATGCTTGTAACAAACGGACATACACTCGCTTATGCACATAATTGTACATTAGATCGTACCAGAAAAAAAAGTTCACCGCACGCCCTTGAGTCTTAATATTTTTGCTAAGCAATTTCGAAAAAAAAACATATTTTTTTTGGCCGAATGTAGGGGTCGCATTTTTACATTTTCGTCATACCATTGGGATTAACAGATGTAGTTCAGGTTTATTGTGGGTACCTGCCGTAGTATACGGTCTAAACTCCACAGAGCCCATTAAGCTCACGGATTAATTCATGCCTTAATCATGCATTTCAGTACCAAAGGTAGTGTGGGAGGACACACTAACCACCTTGGTGAGGCCGAAACCTACCTAAAGTCTCTGCCGTTCTTTGGGTCCCGACACCCGGTTGCAATGCAACTCCACATCGAACCCTTTTTGAGTTCTACCGCCTTTGGTATTAAAGCACAGCCCCCGCGATACTCCCCGAAGGGCCATACCTCAGTGAACAGACTGGAGTAGTGCTCACCAGCCAGACTTGCTTGACCAGCTCGAGTCACGCAACCTACTAAACATACCATACACATGCTCAACCGTACAACTAAGAAGGTCTTCTTTTATCACATATTCACCAATCCACGGTTTACCTCAAATATTTACACCGTGTTTTCAACCCTTTCTCCACATTTTCCACATTTACAACAGTTTTCAACATTATCATCCAGCTCGTCTCGCTCCTCTCACAAGACTTACTAATCTCATTTCAACCCGGTGTCCCTATCCGGAGTGAAAATCGACTTTCAACCCTTGTTCAAGTCACTTGACTCACCTGATTCATTCTGCTCGTCTCGCTACCCTCGCAGGTCGTACTAGCCTTACTGGGGAACAAATTCCAGCCCGGGTGGACAATAGGCCTGGAATTGCTCCTTTTCAGGTTTTCTACACCTACTCAAGCAGCTTGACGAGCCACATTCTTCCTTGCAGAACTTCCCAGCTATATGATTTTACATGTGCATCTGGCCTGTCTTTCGACCTTGTTCGTCTCACTGGCTTTGCTTATCTAGCCAGCGAACACACTCCAGGTGCATCTGTTCGCCCGCGGTTCCTCTTTTAAAGTCTTAGGTATGACTTCCGAAAGTCGTAGACTCTTCTACCAATTGAGCATCAGGATTGGTAGCCTTTGACTGGGGTACCCCGGATTGTGACACCCGTAGCCCCGCAATGCGGAACCCCCCTGGGTTTGTTGGTACGGTAATCTCCACATCGGAAACTGCGTAAGCACATGTCCTACACAGATTCCCATGCGGAGCATCCCTGTTAGTTCATGCCGACATGGAAACCCCTAAGGGCCCCCATGTCACCACTTAAGATCTAGCCCCGCGGCAAGGACACCAACGACCTCTAGATCATCGGGATTAACAGTCGAAGCTTAAAGTATGTTCTAGAGTTCATTGACCTACAGTAGCCCGTTCTAGTACTTATCCACCAGATTATAGTTTTTAACACGCCAACGTTCCACCTTAATGTTAGTACATTAGAGCCCACCAAAAATCTTTAAATTATTTATTTCAGTAGAACTATTTAAAAAAAAAGTATTGCCCTACATTCGGCATTCGGTTTCATTGAAAAATGTAAAAAGGCGACCTCTAGGTTCGACCAAAAAAATGTGTTTATTTTAGGAAATTGCAAAAAATACCTTAGACTCACCGGTGTATGGCGAACTCTTTTTTTGTTTACTTGTACGGTGGTTCGTCCTATTGTACATATCTACATACAAACGCTCACACACACACACACACACACACATGACGATAGACTTGGGTATAGCCGTTACAGCCAAAAGCTGGTTGCAGGATTTGCATTAACTACTTTTTCACGCAACCATTTCTTTTTTCTTTCACTTTCTTCAACGCTTACTACATCCAATGTACATACATACTTTGGTAAATTTGTATATGTCTGCGTCTATGTGCATGCGCACGCCATCAACAGTAAATTACGTTGGCCAATTAATTACGTTTACTTTTGGTTTTCGCTACTTTTCCTAATCGGACGTACGACTTTTGTTTTTCTCACAGCAGCATCCATCAATGACGAAGCAAAAGACGCTTTAAGTGTGCTGAGGCGTATACCAGCGAATACTTGGTGTGTCGAGGTGAGTGACAAGGGTAGTGTATGAATATGCGCTGGGTTAAAGGTGAGAAAATATAGATACATATGTATGTATGCTTACAAGTAACCAAGTAGGTAACTAAGTGAATAGCCATACGTCCTTCTTGCATAATTAAAGCGAAGACTAATTAGTTCAATAAATAATTCAAGTACTAGTATTAGTTTACGTCCTAACAGTTAGATAGTAATTTTTTGATATTTCTTCCATGTACAACAGGTGGAACGTCTAATATTTCAAATGTCGACTACAACGGTGGCATTATCAGGCAAGAAATTCTACTTTCTCACAAGGAGGTTGCTGTTCGGGGTGAGTTTCAAGGGCCAAATTCATAGTGTGTAGTTAACTCAGAGTCGGCAGTTAACTACAGATTTTCAGTACACTGTGAATTTGACCCTAATTGTTTGACGTACATATGTTTTCTTTTATTAAAAAATTGCATGAAGCCGCTTGGCAGTGGCATTCAAACAAATGTTGATATCTGTGGACTTTTGACATACAACTTCTGTACTTTCGTATAGCTGGAATTTAGAGTAAAACTGACTTAAGAAAGTTCGAATTAAAAAGAAAATTTTTTTGTAACTTTCATTAAGATTAAAAATAGAAATATATGAAAGGAAAATGTCCTCACTAGAGAGAAATTGTTTTGTCAAATGTCCACAAATACGTATGTACGTATGTGCATTAGGTCGTACCTGAAAAAAATATCGACGCACATTCCTGATTCTAAAGTATTTTTTGTAAGGCAATGAACCCACTGATACCAATTGGCGCCCAGAGCTAACAACAGCGCTGCTAAGTTCCGAAGTACGCCCTACAAAGTGCGCGCTTGTTAAGACTTTTGGCATATACTAACGAGATGACGTCCAGTCGCCATTTGTTTTCAAGCGATTACCCTTCGACTGTTCCTCTATGCAATCGCAGTAATCCGTCCTTTTGGCCTCTTTGGTGGCTTCTTTACATCTCTGCAGGAAGGCCTTGTAGGTAGTCCGCAAACCATTACTCTTTGACAGAGGTTATCTCTTTGGGCCACCAGTGTGGCGATGGTAAAGGCGTGTCACACAGGGGGGGGACAAAATACTGATTTCTTTACAGAGACTCACAAAATTAAAATTATAAATACCCAAAATCGAAACTACCATAGTCGAAGATATCACATATAAATTTTGGTCCCGACTGTAGTCGGTTAAGGCGTATTCATAGGGTAATCTGTGCTTTGACCTCTGTGCCGCACGCTTTAACCTTCTCCAATCAGGACCAAAATTTATATGTGATATCTTCGACTATAGTAGCATCGACGCAGGGGTTGAGGCTTGGGAAATCTGATGTACAAATTTGCTTCCTACATTTAAAGACCACCCTAATATACATAGATATCTATGAATGTAACATAACACGGTGAAGCATATATACATACTGACTTACCCACTTTTTGCTCTTCTTATTATTTTATATGCAGATGGCAGGCACCATTGTCACCTACGAGTTGGTTTTGCTGCAATTCGATGAACCCAACCGGACGAAAGGACTACCCGATCTGTGCTCTTAGAGATTAGAGTAGATTAGAGTGAAGTGTGATATGACAACAAGACATGGCTATTATGAGCTAAATAAACACACATACTACATAACATACAACACTTGGAAATGTGCTTTTAAAATACACATACATATATATGTATGTACAGGGGCGCACCCAGGAATA